ATTTGATGATCTTCTCCTCCATGTCTGCTGGTAGACACTGCGCCAAGTTGTTTTGGCTCTCATAGATACAGCGTGGCGACATTTCCAGTTGTTGTACCACCCATATATGCTTTGAACTCAGGATTGGAGCTCAGTTCCTCCACCTTTAACCAAACATTACGCTATTAACTGAGAGACTTGCTAAAAATAGAACAGTACAGTGCTAAAGGACAAGGTATTTTACGTGCACGTGTTGTATGTTAACATTGATCTTCTGAACTGTTGATCAATTAGTGCAAATTGAAGACAAAACAATTCTTTATCGTACCTTGACTTCTTTGATCACTAAACCAGTCTGCTAAGCGTTGATCCAGTTCTGGGTATTTTGGTTTGTACCAACCCATGGATGCATGTTTGGCAGTCATCTTTAACTTGCCATTAAACAGCATATGCTGTTGGTTTTCCCATTTGTGAACCATTAACTTGAATATTCCGTACTCGCGTGCAATTTCCCGCTTGTTTTTCACTGCCTCTCCTTCCGCTACTATTTTCAACTTAAAGTTCAGATCGTTTTGCCTTTTGTTAAAAAAAGGTGTCATAACTGTAATTAGGAACTTTGAAAACGCTATTGTTTTGAAAGTGAAGATAGTGAAAAAGCGCAAAGTTGATATTGCGTCTTATATCTGGGTATTTAGGCGAAATTTTTGGTTTAACAACTTGAAAGAAACGAGTTAAAAAATTCAGGGTGCGTCTTATAACCGAGTGTGCCTTACAACCGCGAAAATACGGTATTTCTGATAGATTTGATTTCACCTCTAGTACATTATCACCACCTGTCCCAGAAACCTTGACTTTCTTGATTTTTTCTTCTCTCTACAGTACCTGTTATGCAAGTTTTGGAAATATGCTTGTGCCTTGTCTTTGGAGAAATTTTATTCCAGTTAAGGAGGCTCAAAAGAGTTTTTCGACTGCATGGAGAATCGATCCAAAGATACACGCAAGCAAATTACTTGCGAGGGAAATAAGCGATGGCGCGTGCGATCGCATCTAGCGTATCAAAAATGCCAGGTACCTTGACTGTTTCTGATGAAGGTAATTGCTAAAAAACAAAAATGGAAAGTTTACTTCTTGGAAGCAGGCAGGAAAAAGTTTAGACAGCAGGACTCTTGCCGAAATGGGTTGTAAACATTTATTTAAAGAGCCAAAAGAGGACTGCAAAGTTGACACCCCACCGGCAAAGACGCGACGACTGCGCTTGGTAGGTGTTACTTTGTGCAGTGGAAAATTTAAGCGGATCCTTCCAAGTGTTGAGATTTGTTTCTTATTGAGTTTAATTCCTATAAAAATAAAATGAAATAATCAAGAACATTCTTAAACAACACACAGGAAGATGAAAAGGAAAATCAATTAATTGTTAGATCCAGGATGGTGAATATGGACAGTTTTATGAAGGAAATGGAGAAGTGTAAATATTGCCATATGGGTAAACATATTTTTCATGCAAACAAGAGATCGAAAAAATCGTGGATGAGACCTTATTTCAATTCAACCACAGACGGTATAATTAAAATAAAATATTTATCCTAAACTTGTGAAAAAAAATTGTTTTCATTTCACAAGATAAACTACATATTACAACTAAGAAGTGAAAGCTACCTCACGATGGTTAAGAAAGGATTGTAAATTTTTTTTTCCCATATTAAACGGAATATGGAAGTTCATGGTTATGACAGTGACATTAAATAATATCAAGCTAAAAACCTGGTGAAAATTACAACTGAAGCATACAGCCCTTAGCAAGATTACACAATTAACCCAAATTTACATATTTATTTGTTCCAGAGGGGTTAATGTTGAAGGATGTAGAATTATTTCTGAAGAAATATTCCAGAGTTCTGCTGACTACTGCCGGTGAAACCCACTTGCCTCAAGAAGAGTTAGTGGAATATCAGCTTCTTAGTAATGAAGACATTCCCACCAAAGTTTGGGATAAAGCTGAAATACAATTGACAAGCAAAACTAAGAAGAGAAATCATCATCCATTTTTAGGCTTTGCTCCCAAATAAGAGGGAAGGGAAAAGAAAGCACATATTCAATTTCTCTCTTGCTTAAGCTACAAATTAAAACTGAAATATGCCTGTCAAGGAGCAGTCAAGGAGGTGACAAATGCATCTATGGCAACCCAAACAGAGGCCTTTAGAGGCAGGCTTTCCTTGGCTAGGGCACACTGCAAACTAGCCATACCAACTGCACAGCCCACTGCTTGTGTCAGTCAGCCATGCCCTGCTTATACAAGAAAAGAGGGACTTGGGCAATGGAGACATTTGTCCTTGCTTGAATATAATTGTTTTATACTAAGCAATAAAGGAACATGTCCACTAAACCCAGTTAAAAAACCAGGCCAGGTTATGGTAACAAAATCTGACAATTTTTTCCGGTTGACTATCTGTGTAGAGCATGATTGTTGGTAGGTCATTGCAGACAACTTCTCTTATGAAGCCTGGAAAAGTACTTTTCTTGAGTTTCAGCACTGCAAGCAACGGGTCATTGCCTTTTTTAGCTGCTGTGCCCCTCGTTGAGCGAGCAAGAGAGGGATCTACAGGCCTGATTGACTGTCTACGACGAACCTTTGCCACATTCAGCATCCCAGACGAACTCGCAACAGATGGCGGCCCTGAATTCACAGCAACAGCCACACGCCAATTCCTGAAAGACTGGGGCATACACCACCGTCTGTCGTCAGTGGCATTCCCACACTCAAATTGCAGGGCAGAGATTGGCGTCAAATCAGTCAAACGGTTCATCACTGACAACACCACCCCATCTGGTAGCCTAGATACTGACTCCTTCCAGCGTGCAGTCCTTCAATATCGAAACACACCCGACCCGAATACTCAGCTATCCCCTGCACAATGTGTCTTCGGCAGGCCAATCAAGGACTTCATACCTATCTTACCTGGTCGCTACCAACCACACCCTACCTGGCGTGACACCCTCGCGACAAGAGAAGCAGCACTAAGAAACCGCCACATGAAAGCTGCAGAGAGATGGTCTGAGCACACCAAGCGACTCCCACCCCTGGCCGTTGGTAACCATGTCCGCATCCAGAACCAAACAGGCCCCTACCCCACTAAGTGGGATAAGACAGGAGTCGTGGTCGAGGTTCGCCAATTCGACCAGTATGTCATCCGCATCGACGGCTCAGGGAGGATGACTACCCGCAACCGCAAGTTCTTAACCACCTAACAATTGATGACGACCTGCGTCATCTTGCTATGCTGCCACACAGACCGCCCAAGCCAATCGCCCCCACCCCAGCACAAGCAAGAATGCCCCCACAACCATCCCCCGCACAGCCACTAACTGGGCCAACCCCGGCAGCAGTGACACCTGACCACCACAGCCCCAGCCCAAAGCCAAATGCACCACAGATACAACTTAGCAACCAAACACCTTCCCCATCTCCTGAGCACCCCTCGACAGCAACTCCACGAACGCACGCGTCCAGCCCCCAAGCAGATCCACTGGCGCCGTCAAGCCCGCCGAAACCCCCAGAACGACCAAAGAAACCTCCCTTAGCCCTGCGTCGGCTACGGGACTTTAACTCCAAAGGACTATTGGAACAGTGACTTAGTCATTAGATCCATGAGACAGTCAAATGACACTATTCCATATTTAGTTTTGTTCTTTAATTCAAATTAACATTTGTGTTCTTATCAGTCTTCACTATCCCCCATATGCAAGCATGAGGAACACTAAAGACTTGGGGAGAGATAGAGCACAACGCAACATTAGATGAGAGATCTGGACACTAGTTATGATTTGCCCGATAGGTGCCTGGCGCGAGCCACTTGTAACAAGCTGTACTTTGCACATGTTTCTATCATTCTCTTACGAGGATGCTCGCCTTTCTAGGATAAATCTCTCGATGAAATAGACAAAGTCTTATCTAGTGAGAAGATTACAGTTCTGCGAAACTCACTTGACTCCACATCTGATATTGTTGTGGAGTCCGATGGCATTGTCCATCAGTGTGCCTTGTCATGTTTTAAGTCTGTAACATCGTCTGATGTCTCGGAATTACTTAGTAAGATGACCATCAAATCCTGTCCTCTTGATCCTGTCCCTGCTTCTGTTTTGAAGCAGTGCACATCAGGTCTTTTGCCTGTTATGACTCAAATTGTAAATCAGTCTTTATGCCTAGCTGTTTTTCCAGACTGTTTTAAGCTAGCATTGTTGAATCCTCTTCTCAAAAAGCCCACACTTGATGTTGAAGTTTTTTCGAATTTTCGTCCTAGCTCAAATTTGACGTTCATGTCTAAACTCACTGAGAAGGTGGTGGCATCTCAGTTGATTAATCACATTTCTAGTAATGGACTTGATGAAATACTACAATCTGCATATAAACAATTTCAGAGTACTGAAACAGCTTTAGTTAAAGTTTTTAATGATATTATCCTAGACGTTGATAGGAATAGGACTGTTATCTTACTTTTATTAGATCTATCCGCCGCTTTCGATACGGTCGATCACACTGTACTGATTGAGAGATTAGCAAACCGCTTCGGTCTTTGCAATCTAGCTCTGGCCTGGTTCAAATCATACCTGAGCGACAGAACTCATTTTGTGAGCATTCGTGGTGTGCGGTCTGTCACATGTTTGCTATCGTGCGGAGTACCACAGGGCTCCGTGCTTGGATCGATTTTATACCTGCTCTATAGCTCCCCATTTGTCGGAAACGTATTGTTATCAAGTCGCGTGACTATAGGGCGTGGCGAACTTGACACCATTGTATTGTACATGTGATTGAACCAGTAAGAGTCAACAATGACCGGAAATTCCTGTGTAACCAAAAACTAAGACTAGAGCTGATATAAGAATGTACTCTGCGGCGCAGTAATCTGACCGGGGAATACGATGGCATAATAAGAGAGCAACTCCAGAACAACGTAGTTGAAGTCGCACCAGTAGAAGTCGTGGGGAAGGAATTTTACATTCCACACAAAGCAGTGATTAGAGAAATGGCTGAAACAACCAAAATGCGCATAGTTTATGATGCTTCAGCAAGAGCAACGCCAGAGTCACCGTCGCTGAACGAGTGCCTTTATCCTGGCCCTCCATTACAAAACAAGCTTTGGGACATACTAGTGAGACAGAGAGCATACCCCATAGCTGTAACCGCAGACATCCAGAAGGCCTTCTTACAAATACGCATCCGGGAGTGTGAACGTGATGCATTAAGATTTCATTGGAGGAAAAGTGAACACGGAAAGCTAGAGACACTACGTTTCACACATGCGCTGTTCGGTCTAGCCCCATCACCCTTTCTGCTCAGTGCCGTAATAGAAGCCCACTTGGATGCATGGGAAGAATGGGAACCAGAGATAGTCGCAGAGCTTCGACGCAGTTTATATGTTGATGATTTACTAACAGGTGGACGAAATACAAGCCAGGCCCAGCAGCGCAAAGATAAAGCCGTTCAAATATTCAGCGACGCAACGTTCCAACTCCACAAGTGGCATTCCAACGTCAAACAGCTAGAGGAAGATACAAACCTGACCGTCAGTCCTGAAGAACAGTCATTTGCTAAACAACAACTAAATGTGAAACCCAGTGAATCAAAGATGTTGGGACTCAAGTGGGACAAAGAGCAAGACACTTTGGCGGTAGTAATACCCGAAGAAGAAACCCAGCCAACCAGGCGAGGCATTCTGGGAAAGATGGCCAAGATTTATGATCCCTTAGGCCTGATTGCACCGTTAACTCTCACCGCTAAGCAGATTTATCGCGAGTTGTGTGAGGCCAAAGTACAATGGGATACGAAGATCAACGGAGAGCTCCTACACCGTTGGAAAAAATGGGAGCAACAATTACCTTGTGAACAGCAAGTACCACGATCGATAGCAAGTTATCAAGAAGCATTACAAGAAGTGGAACTACACTCTTTTGGGGACGCGTCAGAACGAGGAGTAGGAGCGGCAATTTATGCAGTTGTACGTCAACCATCAGGCAACACTCAACGATTAGTGGTCGCCAAGAGTCGACTTGCCAAACAGGGACTGACTATTCCGCGCCTAGAGTTGATTGCAGCGCACATGGCTACCAATCTATTAGTAAACATACGCAACGCCCTAGACAACGTTCCCTCCCCAAAGATGTTCGGATGGTTAGACAGCACCGTCGCACTTCATTGGATCAAGGGAAATGGCCAGTATAAACAGTTTGTCGCGAATTGAGTTGCCAAGATACAACTACACAATGAGGTTGAGTGGAGGTACGTGCCCACTGATGAAAACCCAGCAGACCTAGCGAGCAGAGGCGCCCCAGTACACTCAGCACTTTGGCAACAGGGACCGGAGTGGCTTCAAGACAACTCCAAGTGGCCAATCAACCCAGTCACTCGATCCTCACCAGCATCAGAAGTTGAGGCCAAAGTCATTAGGGAAGTGCTCAACCTAGCACAAACCAAATCAGAACCAGACAAATTCGATGAACTCCTGGAACGCACTAGTTTGCGACGGACCTTGAGAGTCGGCGCGTGGCTAAAGAGATTCATTCATAACTGCAAACATAAAGACAAGAAACTCGGGCCTCTACTAACTGAAGAAATAGAAGATGTACGTGGATGGTGGATTAAGCGAGTCCAACGGCGAGACAGAGAAACCATGGGCTACCCTCAGATTAGCGGTCAACTTAACCTGAAACCCAATGCAGAAGGAGTGATGACATGCCACGGCCGGATACAGGGGCAAACTCCGATATACCTACCCAACAGTGAAAAGTTTACAGAAAAACTGGTCCAACAAGTTCATTGCGAGACACTGCATGGGGGAGTCGCGCTGACAATGGCAGCAGTAAGAGAGAGGTACTGGGTACCAAAACTCCGAAGTTTGGTCAAGTCGGTCTGAAGCAAGTGCTATGGTTGTAAGAGATTCAATGCAACTCCAGCAAGAAACCCAATTCCTGGTCAGTTACCGGAAGATCGGACCACAGTCGGCGCGGCATTTGAAATCATCGGCACAGATTTCGCTGGACCAGTGAAGTAAAAACAGGGAAAGAAAAGTCAAGGAAACTCCTATCTGGCTATCTTCACTTGCAGCCTTTCAAGGGCTATACACCTAGAGTTAATGGCCAGCCTGGAGACAGACAACTTCATTACTTGTCTCAAGTGTTTCATTGCTCGCCGCGGACGACCACGGGTCATCTACTCAGATAATGGCGGTACCTTCATCAAAGCCGAGAAATGGCTACGGCAGTTACGGAAAGATGAGCGTCTCCAGGGTCTTCTTGAACAACACGAAATTACCTGGAAATTCAACTTGAGCTGCGCCCCTTGGTGGGGGGGTCAGTTCGAGAGATTAATTGGAGTCGTGAAATCCTCCCTGTACAAAACTATTGGTGGAGCTACTCTAACCTGGCCTGAGCTAAGTGAGGTGCTACTCGACGTTGAAATGCAGATTAATCGCCGCCCATTGAGCTATGCGGAAGATGACATCGAGTTACCAATCTTAACGCCTTCAACCTTCTTGTACCAGCGAACAAACCAGTTACCGGAAGAGGAGACCTGGAGGATAACAGACCAAGACACCAGGAGACGTGCAAAGTATTTGCGAACCTGTAAGGACAAAATGTGGAGTCGATGGCAAAGAGAATACCTTACAGCACTAAGAGAAAGACACAACCTGACGCACACAGTGAGCAAGTTCCAACCTAAGAAAGGAGACGTTGTCATAGTGAAAACTGACAGCAAGAATCGTGGAATATGGCCGCTGGCCATAGTGAATGAAGTTTACCCTGGCAATGACGGCGTCATACGCGCAGTCCAACTTAAAACTGCCAAAAGCATGCTGGAACGACCAGTACAACATTTGTACCCATTGGAACTTGAGTGTGACGTCAGCACTCAAGTGGCAGATCCACGCTTAAACCCACAGGCTCAGGATTTCCGCCCTAGAAGAGACGCAGCAGCAGCAGCAAGGTTGCAAATGAAACAAGTTGCAGATGTTGAACAATGTGAACTATGAACAGTAAATCAAACAAGTTGCGGATGATTAACAATGTGAGATGCGAACAGTAATTAGTGCTTCGTGAAAACTGATCCATGAGAAGTGGACAAATAATTATTTTGTTTTGAGAACATCAGTATAAGGCCTGAACTGTGAACACTGAAATCGTTTATAGGAAGTAACGTTGATCGAGGAAAGTTTTATACTGATTATCGTTTTGTTACCGCTCGCATGATTCAAATAGGTTTAAATATTATGACATATGCTTTCGATAGCAAACCATATGAGGGGAGAGTGTCGGAAACGTATTGTTATCAAGTCGCGTGACTATAGGGCGTGGTGAACTTGACACCATTGTATTGTACATGTGATTGAACCAGTAAGAGTCAACAATGACCGGAAATTCCTGTGTAACCAAAAACTAAGACTAGAGCTGATATAAGAATGTACAATCGCGTAAATTGAAGAGTTAGAGAGTTGTACTCAATGTGATCGGGTAGTGAGAAAATAAATAACTTTAAAACATATTGTGACTTTTGGAGAGAACTGGAGGAAAGGGGGACATTCTCCAAACATTAGGGGATATTGTCAGACAATACAACATGGGCTATCATTTCTATGCTGATGATACTCAGTTGTATCTGTCTTTCAATTCTCTGTGGGGATGATCAAGAATCAAGAATCTTGTGTTAGAGATATCGACCGTTGGATGTCTTGTAACAAACTTAAGTTGAATAGGGACAAGACGGAACTGCTCGTTATCAGTTCAAAATATCGGCCACGCCCATCTTTAGATAGTATCCTGATTGGTGATCATCGTGTAGAGTGGTCTGACAAAGCTAGGAACATAGGAGTTGTTTTTGATGAGACCTTGTCACTGGATAAGCATGTGAGTTCCGTTTGTAAATCTGCTTTATTTCAAGCTTCTCTTGAGACTGCAATCAGCCGATTCTCTTTGCTAGCCAATGACAATTCCCAAAAGATCCACGTAATCATGCCCATGATTGGAAACAAAGAAGACTCCATTTGGTGCTCATCTTTGAATGTACTTTTCAATGGTTGATCACTTGTGCATCAGGTTATTTCTTTTCTCAACTGTTTTTTTTAATAAAACATTTCTAAACATGGGTTTTATTGTGGTTCAATGGGAAAACGAAAACAGCATTGTAAATGAAAAGAAAACCGTTGGTGCCATGGATTTAAAAGAAGGGACAGCAGTTGACATATCGACTGGTACAAACATGGGTCAAGTGGCCATTTATATAGCTGCGATTTTGAAGGTTTGTAATGAGTAAAAATTGCAATATCCATTACGTGAAGAGATATTCTTACCAAAGAATAGATATAAAGCCTTGAATTAAGCTTACATAACGCTTGGCGCAACTGAAACGCCTATAATTCTGAGAATCAAATCAAATTGCATGCCACAGTTTCTTAAGCTTACACTTTACAATCAAATAAATCTATCAGTAGGGTTTCAAGATTAGTTTAGTCACCTTTGGGAATATTCAAGATTCATAATACAAACTGTGATTAAACAAACCCAATTGCATATAAAAGCCCTTCTTGATAAAACAAAATAATGTATCCAGGCCTTTTTTTGTAAAATCTATAGAAGAGTAGTACTAACTCCAATATAAAAGTCATTCAATGTAACAGAGATTTCCCAATCCAAGTGCACTTTGTTAAATTAGGATTCCTTTTCCTCATAGTTATCTAAGGCCTTGTCTGAGCTCATAATATATACATTTTTTCAAATTTAGATTTCATGAACTCCAGATACAAAATGGACAGGCTTCTTGTAGACAATCTCGTTCAAGGCCAACAGAGAAAGCTGTGAGCCCAAGAAAAAAGCCAAACAGCAGCTAAGTCTGCAGTTTAGGATAACTTCATTCTAAATTATTGTTACAGTTACAACTAGAGTTTTAATCCAAAAATCAATTTTATTTAACTGTAATTAATTCCTTCATTCTCAAGAGTGCTAAGTCAAAATTGAGAAGAAATCTTTGAATTTTAATGTGCAGAATTAACAAACACAAATGATAAAACATGAAAGTACTGCTTGACAGCTTACATTTGAATGTTCACACACAAGAGCTTCATCCAAAGAAGTTACATCCACATAAAATCAAGTCAAAGCTTGACTATAGGAGCAAAAGGGTTAAATACCATTTGTATCATCATCCAAAATTGAATGATTCATTTAAAGACTATGTTTGACTGATAGTATTTATTGCAATAAATATAATTCAAGTTATTGTATTTTAAGGAAAAGAATACACAGATTTTATTCCCAATTTGTGTCAAACCAAATTTAATGACTGATTAGGACTATTTCATATGAATAGCTGTAAATGAGGATAATTCTTAGAAAGTTTTCAAGAAAAATTCCATCCTAATATTGCTACATGTTGATGTTGATGTACAAGCAAAAATATTTTACATGTAAACCTGAGTTAAGCATCTAAATAAATCTATTGAATACTTAAATTTTTAGTTGGAGTTTTTTAATTTTTAG